CTGGATAGTGGACATTATAATACCTGGAGACAGCAGTAGAGAAGAGCAAGAACTGGAGAAAATCATAAAATATAAAGACCTGCAAATAGAAGTAGAATGACTATGGCAAAAGAAAGCAAAGATAGTAATAGTAATAGGTGCCTTAGATGCAATCCCAAAACGTCTGGAGCACCACTTGAAGACCATCAGCATTGCCAAAATCACCATCATTCAATTGCAAAAGGCAGCTTTACTTGGAACAGCTTATCCTGCAACGATACGTTTAATCTATGTATTGTCGAAGGCTTTCACGGCCGGCATACAATGGCTGGTGTGGGTCTTCCGGGCTGTGTACCTGGAAGGTACCTGGATACCTTTAATCCATCAAACAACAACATCTGCCTATCCCAGGTCCTTGGGAAGGACTCGATAGGTGTATAAAAATGCCAAATCCAGTCTAAACATCTGGCTGACTGTGCGACCAATCATAATATACTAAATTTATATGCCGCCCAACTCCTAGCGACTCTGGATGGTTTACAATTGTTAAAAACATTTAAGAGCAAAAAACAATACAAAAAACACAAAAATGGCATAAGACGAAAGAACGATGGCAAAGAAAACAAACCCAAGAGGAACAAAAAGGAAGAAAGGGGCATCAGTCATCCTTGCCAAAGGCCTGGGGGAAGAGCCAGGTCTTTAGGGCTCTTCAAAATACCAGCAGGGCGGGAGCCATTCAGATTTTGTGGGGAACCTCATTCCAGAGGGCAGGCACTGCTACAAAGAAGGCATGCTTCCGGAGTCCAGACAGATGATATTTAATCGATGGACCCTGGAGCATGCCAGCCCTGCCAGATCGAAATGGCCAGGCAGATACTATGGGAAGACAGATGGTCACTCAAGTAACCAGGCCCTATGGAAGATTTCATGTCACCTTGGCAGGTATGACCTCTGAAATTGGGAACTAGTGTAATCAGTTCATTTAATTGTTCATGACCTCTTCTGCTGAGTATAGCCAAATTCCCTAGTATTGAGAGCTAGGGGAATAAAACAAATGGGATAATGATTAGAATAACATTGGTAGGAAGCTTGGAACAAATTGAATGAGATACAGACTGGAAAAGATATGCTGGTTTTTGACCATAATAAAGATTTGATTGATTGACTGGAACACATTTAAAGACCTATTCCATGGTCAAGAAGACAACAAATAATTTACTGTTTACCACCAATACAGCTGCATAAAATCATTCAGTGGAACTTTTTCTGATAATCCTTTTAAAACATGAAAAGAAAATATGTATCACTGATAGCGAGGTTTGAGTAAATTTGCATGAGTCTTTGCAGATTAAAGTTCATACATGTTTGCTGACTTAGAT